GATGGTCCCATTTATTGGGTACCTATCTGAGTCAGCACAAACCAAGGCAGGTTACATCCACCACACTTGTCTTTACATGTATCAGTGTTATCAACACACCAGAAGCAGTTTTGTAAAGTAGAAGACCACTTCCTCTGTTGTACTGTCATTTTCTGCCTTTGGTCTGTTTGTATGTATATTGATTTGTTTCCTTTTAAATCATATTCTAGAAGAAAAGAGTTTTTCAAGTTATTTCCTTGTGACATATACATAATATTTTATCATTTTAGCTGTTTCTACGTGTACAATTCAGTGGCAATAAACAGTGAAACTATCACATCTATACTCACAACTTCTCCATCATCCCCAACAAAAGCTCTGGACCGATTAAACAGAGCTTAATTAGGAGCTTCCTTACCTCCAGCTCCTAATAGTCTGTGCTCTATTTTCTGTCTCCATGAATTTGCCTATTCTAGGTACCTCATGTAAGCAGAATCACACCACATTTGTTCTTCATGTCTGACTCATTTTACTAAGAATAATATATTCAAAGTCCATCCATATTGTAACATGGATCAATTTCATTACTTTTTGAGACAGAATACTATTTCATCATCTGTATACCACATTGTGTTTATCCATTCATCCACTGATGGATACCTTTCAGCCATTGTGAATAATGCTGCTATGAACATCGGTGTTCTAATCCTTGCTTTCTGGTTTTTTGGGGGTTTTTTTTTTTTATATCCATCTAGGAGTTGAATTACTGGGTCATAAGGTAGTTCTGTGTTTAAAAAGCTAGGTTGTGGGTTTTTTTTCCCCTAGTGCTAACTTTTGAAGCAATACCAAGTAAGAGCAATTCCTTATTCTCTGAATGTTTTAAAATAGTATAAGAAAACAGCTATGTCGTCCTCCCTAAGTCTCCTCTTGTCTAAACTAAAAATTCAAAATTATGCAACTATTTTTTGAACCCAAATGTAAAATCTTATGTCAGTCTCTGCTACATTTTGCTTTATTACTTTCATCAACTAGTTCACTCTGTGGGGATATCCAAATATTTATTATGGGACCCAATACGTATTTCCTTCTCCCAAATTTATGCCTTTTTTCTTTTGAAATACACTGAGAAAACATTTAAGAATTGTTAAAAACAGAAGACATCTTTATCTTCCAGTTGATGACTAATCAAAAAGAGGATGATGAAGATAAAATTGTTTAAAATTTTTCTTGTGGATCCATTAGAATTATTTAACTTTTATTATATTCTTTTGGGAAAAGAAAAGGTTTTTCCTTTTGAGATTGTATTAGCACATCCTTGCACTTGGTAGAGATTCCGTGAACACTTTTTAGGAAAGTGAAGAATTGAAACATTGGTTTTTTTCCTTGGAATGTTTTTATTGAGATCCAACCCCTCTTATGTTTAAAGGCACTTGTGATTATCGTGGTACTGTTCTCACGTCCACAGCTTTGACATCAGTTATCTCCATTATTGGAAGCCTGGTAAACGCTGACGAAGGCTATGTTTGTGTCCACTTTGCTGTAATGAGAAAGAAAAAGTGCTGTTCTTCTTATGAGTTACTATATTTATAAACTGCCTCGCTATCCAAGTTGAAATAAGAATATTCATGTAAAATAATTCTACCCTTAAACCCCTAGTATGAAAATTCCTCTTCTTAAGTCTCCTCCTAGGTTCTTCCTCCAAAACAGTTGTCTGGTTATTTTGGCATTTGCATGGGTGGTTTAAGAATCTTACAGAATGCTTGTGCATGGAGTCGACCAGAAAGAGTTTAATGAAAGGATAGAACTCCTGGTTGAGTGTTTCTTATACATGTATATTGAAGGAGAACATTTTCTTTGGGAAAGTGGACTTATGTGAAATTTTCTCATTGACATCTTTCTGTTACCTGGGGAACTGTTCAAGCTCACCAAAGGTATTAATCTGGACCTTCTGTCCGGGCCATGATGCCATGGGGGCTCTCATTTCTGAAAGGATTACATTTCAATTACTTTTCTCTCTTTTTATGTCTTTAAACTTAATCTTACACCTTCAAACTATTTTTTTTTTTAAACATTAACAGAATAACTGCTTTGAGACTAGGATGTGTCTTTGGTTGCTAAGGGGTTGCAGCATTTAAATACCTTATGCAGCCAATTGACAGATGACTAATATCACAGTTCACCAGCAGCTTGCTTTTGCAGAACTGCGACCAGCTAAAAAAAGAAGGAATGCTGTAGAACTGAGAACCATCTCAGTTGTTCTCATAAGTAAATCTTGATTATGTTTTTCATCATAAAGCACCTATAGTGATTTGGGATGAGTCATCCTCTGCTGATTTTGAGTAGAAGGATTGTGACAAAAGTGACTAATAAAGTGGCTCTCCCAGCTTACAAATAGAATTTGATGTCCCATTTTAGATATCCTCTGAGAAATAAATCACTGCCAGAATTGGAATCAAACCTCAAACTTTATTTCTCCACCCAAAAGCCCAGCGATTAATATATGTAACATGCACACACACACAGACGGACGATTAGGACACACCTATTTTTGTTGGTGATGATGAAAGACAGAATATCTGGTCTTTTACATTGTACTTCTCTCTCCGTCTCTTGCTCATCCCCACAAACCCAGCTGCTACTATTTGCAACTCTAAAGTCAGCCAAAAAAAATAAGAAACAACACGAACAGAATGTGAAATGGTCATTATTGTCCTCATCGTAAATAGCTGCTAGTGTCATTGATCAATTTCCTATAGCTTATTGATTGCCTGCCTTTGCTCAACATCACCTCCTAAACTATAGTTAAAATCTTGTAACCGAAAGAACTGCAGTAACTTTTATTTTGTGCATTTGTTGAGTGTTTCCCCTTTTTCTCCCTCCCCTGTCCCACAACCACATAACACTTGACACTTGGCCAGAATATCCATTAACCAAATGTTGGATAAAATATATTTGTTAGACATGGTTTTGCCTCTCTGTGTAAATGGGAGAAATCGGAACAAGTGAAGATTAAATGACAGAGGAAGAGCCGGGTTAGTTAGGGGAACAGAAAGCTGGACTAGGGTTGATTTCCTGGCAACACTTTCTTAGCAAAGAGAACAATTTTAATCAGTTACAAAAATATTTGTGATCCATATGTTCCTCTCTGCTCGTTCCCATATGCCCATATTCCCTTTTATCTTGGTGGATGATGACTTTATGATTCAGGAATGCAAGAATAATACCTCGCTGGCTTTAGAGCACAGTGCTATTTCCAAACGTGTCCTGGTAATTACGCACACACTATATATCCAGGCTGTTTCACCCTCTGAGATGGTTACGTGAATATCAGTTTGTTCTTTCTTCATGGAAAGAATTATATCTTGCATCCACCTACTGGGGCTGGAATAAGGCATCTAAGGCTTAGATCTGAAAGCACGAGCACTTCACCGGCTGGATTAACCCCATTGTGCAAATAGGAGCATCAGAAAAAGGAGACAGGAAGGCTGCAGTGATCATTGATAACTTCATTCTCTTTGACAAAAGGAAAACAGAAGCCAGAAAGCATTTGGTAAATCCATCCATCACAGGTGCCTCTATTTTAAGACATATTAGATACGTGGCCGGTTGCTTAAATAGATCCTAATTTTAAGGCATGTTGACTTCTATTTAATGTCAAAGTGTTCATGATGCAAAACTAGTCAAAGTTGAAAAATCAAAATTACTGTCGATGACCAATGCATTTCGCTCCTAACTTATTTCCTTTGCCAGTATAGGCTTAAAAAAAATAGTTATATAATTTTTAACAACAAAAGAAACACTTTTTACAGCCAAATTATCCATTTTAATAAAGGCGCCAATCAAGCTGGAAAGGGTTGACTGTAGAAACGATTGAATTTTCAGCAGTTGTTTTCCTCTCACAACAAATGGAGTCAGAACCCAATAGGCTGTTCGTCAAGCTGCAGTAAAATCTGATGAGGAGCCAGCTGTGCTCATGGCGGCTTGGGAGGGGGAGCGAGGCGGAGGCAGGGAGGGTTTCTAAACTTCAGAGTAAATAACTGAGATGCACTGAGTGTTTTCAAAGTCGGGTCCAGGGCGGAACACGTGTGCAGGCTGTTGTATTCAGCAGATGTGCGCCAGGGTAGAGTTGCAGCTTGGGTTGGGCAAATGTTATTCGGAATCCGTCTCTGTTTGCATTGAGGCTGTCTTCGCTGCTGCTCCTGGAGGAGTTGCGAGAAAAGGAAAGTGCACATTATAGCAGGGATTGTTTTCAACAGGTTCAAAAGTTTGCAAGTCTGTTGAATCCCGCTGGCAGGATTGCTTCGCTGTCAAACAGAATACCCAGCTGGTGGTGGCAGTCCTCATGGGGAGGGCGGGGGACGGATGGATGGTGTTCACCCAGCGCCGAGAATATTAGGAATTCTTCCTGAACTGTCAGTGGAGGAAAAAAAGAGCTCTCTCAACAATAACATTATGAAAGTTTTCTTTTTCCTTTCTTTGTATTTTTTTTTCACTTTTACAGCTAATGCCTCATTAAGTCAAAAATTGTTCAATGTGCTTTCTTAGGATAGCTTTCCTAAAGAAAAGAATCACAAAAAAAAAAAAAAAACAGTACTCGGAAGATTATATTGATCTATAATTAAGACAAAGACTGGGGTTAAAAAAAGGAGGCAAGACTTTTTTGCTCATAGGTGATCTGGATTGTCATGGAGGCAAACACACAAGCTTGTTTTTTTTTTTTTTAATATAAAGTGCGAGATTTCACTAAAAAAGGTTAAAATTGAAGTGAGTAATCTTGGGCGCATAATGCAATTGTTAATTTTAGCTCGTTGCGTGGGTGCCGTTCTGACTTGAACAGCCGGCTGGAGCCTTCATTAGGGAAGAAGCAGGCAGCTTGGGACAGGTGGAGTGGATCAAGCCGTGAACGTGGTTTGCTGGAGGCCGGTCATCAGTGTTAGGAACCCAGTCTTGTTTGTTTAGTCCTTTGCCCCTACCATGATTATTGCCATTATCGTTACTGTTGACTTTTCGTCTTTTTTCAGGTGGACGATGTGTCAGACCGTGTAAGGGAATCACATGGAGATGGGCGTTTTGAACTGTTAGTGGGGACATGGGACTCCCGTTGTCTCTGATCCCACGTGTGGATTTTCCCAGCGAAGAAGGACAGAAGCCGCTCGTAAGTCACCAAGGCCGGCAGCCGGACTCCTGCACGAAAGGTAAAGAGCTGTCATCGGACAGCTGTCCCTTCATCTGTGTGTTTTCTTCGGTCTGTAAATGAGCATGTTTGCATGGAACAGTTCCTGAAAGGCCACCCGAACAGACAGCATCTGTATAAGGGATTCAGCTGGCTCGGAGTTTGGAAAATTAGAGCTCAATTTGTGCATTTCGTTTTTTTTTTAAAAATCTGGTCACGATCTGTGTTTGATTGAAACGCTCCAGGAAAAAAAGTTAGGGCAACAGAAGTCCTGTCTCCTCCCCCGACTCAGTATATTGAGAAACAAACTGTTTGCTTTGGGAAACAGAACTTTTTATTTGGTTAAATGCATCTCTCCCCCGTGTCACTGAAATATGAGAGATCTGTCAGATACACTGAAGGGAGTATCCTCAAACCTCCTCAAGAGCCTTGCTCACTGCCCCTCGCAGACTCCAGCCATCATCCCCGATGAAAACTTTTCCTTTTCCATTCCCACAATCCTTTGCCAAGTGAGCCTGTGTGTTTTTTTTAAACAATATCATTAGATACCATCTGTCCTGTCATGGTAGGTCTTAGCATATTTGCAACAGAAATTACTGTATTATTAGATTTTTCTCATGCTTCCTATGTCCACTTGGAAATAAAGTTACTGAATTAGTATATGGTAATTAAACACTCCCAGAGAGACATATCAAGACACTGATATGTCCATTAATAATTACCATAGTAACAACTGGGAACAGGACAGTCATTACTTGGGAATTTTTGTGAAAGAAGTGACTTTCTAGGCTACAAGGTCTTTCTGTCCTTTTTTAATTTCCTTCTTTCCTTCCTGTTTTTTTTCCTTTCCTTCCTTTTTCTCCTTTTTTCTTTCTTAAAAAAAAAACTGAGGAGGAAGTAAATGCTGAACTGTTTATGAGCCTCATTTGACAGCACATCAGAAGGGGAAGTGTCAGGGGCTTTATGGAGGTAGGGAGAAAAAAAATACTAATAACAGGTTTATACTTTGAAAAGTCATTTCTAGCATCTGTGTAGTCATCTCTTATGAGCCTGGAGCATTGGAGTTCAGTTGTGATAACTTCATTGGAGCTCCCTGCCTGAAACTTGCTTCTGAAAGATCTCCACAGCACCAGTCACTGACGGGCTGTGGGGAGAGCTTCTGCTTTTAATAATGTCTCTGTCAGTTTGAAGTCTGAAGTCCCTGATGGTTTCTTGCTAACTCGGGATCCTATATGTGTTCTGAATTATTACCCCTTACGTTGATTTCTCCTCTGGTAGAGTGTACTGAATTCCTTAGACCCAGGAAGGTATGTCTGTGGTTGAAACTTGCAAATCATTTGTGAGTCATCTTAGATGTGCAGAACAGGTACCACCTCCCAACTCGGAAGCGGAGGAAGAGTTGGGGAAATACTCTCTTTTTCTTCTGCTTCCACTTTGGAGTGGAGCATAGGGACCGGGAGGTGTGTGGGACTTGGGTGTCTCAGTTTAAGATGTATTGATCCACCCTGACAGCAAGGTGTATTGATAGGAGCATGTGTGTGTGTGTGTGTCTAGGGTCGTGGATTGAGTGACCAAATCTGCCTCTTGGTGTTTGTCTGGGGTACTTGATTTGGTCTTGTTTTATTCTCTTTTGTGTGCAATTGGCAGGGAGGCTCGAGTTGCTTGTTTGATTTTGAGAACAAAGGGAAGAATCCAGTATCTCAACCATAATGGTCAAGACTTCACCCTGCACTGACTTTACTTTCTGATGTCTTCACCTTATAGGGTGTCAAACCTTGTGATTTAAATTTGCATCTGGGAGAATGTCTGAGCCAGGAGACCTGAGTCAGACCATAGTGGAGGAAGGTGGGCCTGAGCAGGAGACGGCCACTCCGGAGAACGGTGTGATTAAATCTGAGAGTCTGGACGAGGAGGAGAAACTGGAATTACAGGTGAGCCTGGAGAAATCCCATTTGTCATACTGCTGTGTGCACCCCTTTCTTTCATTTTGAAGATACTCTGAAGGTTTGTTTGTCTTCTTGCCTGTAAAGAGTTTGACTAGTGAAATGAACGTGTGTATGTATGCTCAGTCGCGTCCAACTCTTTGCGACCCCATTGACCAGGTTCCTCTGTCCATGGGATCCTCCAGGCAAGAATACTGGAGTGGGTTGCCATTTCCTCCTCCAGGGGATCTTCCCGACCCAGGGATTGAACCCACATCTCCCCCTGCATTGGCAGGCAGATTCTTTATCACTGGGAGTTCCAAGTAAAACGAATAGAAAATTCATAAAACAAATCTTCTCTTTTCCCATTTATTAGTCCTTTTTCTCTGATTAAACAGTACATTGTGATCAAAATGCCCTTTGAAATAATACGTGTGTGTGTGTGTGTGTGTATGGCCAAAGAGCATATTTAATGACTGAGTTTGTCCACAGCTTCTCCGTATTAATTTCTAGACCACCTCAATGAGTTAGTGGAGGGCTTCTCCCGAGGTAGCTTTATGCTAGCTGAGTTTTGAGTTTTAAAAATGGATTTGTATTCCGTGAAAAGAGGAAGGGCCAGCCCATGACAGACCAAGAAATATCAAAGACATGAGCTCTGTTGACCTTCTTGCGCAGGCTAAGCATCAATTCTTACTAGCAGAAAAGCTTAGAATTCCCAGCCAGAAAGAGAGAGAGAATGCCCTGGGAGAGGCAGGGGCAGTTGGGGGTGATTGAGAGTACTCAAAAAGTGATATGGTTAAGTGGTCAGGATTTATGAGAGAAGGAGAGTTGGTAGATGGAAAACAAACTGGACTTGCAAATAACCTGTATCGATTTTCTTTGAACCAAACTACAAAAGTGTTAACTCTTTTTATTTCATAAATGCGCAAAGGCAGATACTGGCATGATGGCCAGATGACCTCAAGGCCAGCCGCTGCTCTCCCCAGCAAGCTTCTGCGGGGCTTCCTGGTGGCCCAGACAGTAACGAACCTGCCTGCCAGTGCAGGAGATGGAAGAGACTCAGGTTCAGTCCTTGGTTCGGGAAGATCCCCTGGAGAAGGAAATGGCAACCCACTCCAGTGTCCTTGCCCGGAGCATCGCATGAACAGAGGAGCCTGGCGGGCTCAGTCCGTGGGGTCACAGAGGGTCGGACACAACGGAGTGACTAAGCACATGGGCTTCTGTAAGGAGGGAAGGAGAAAAGCTAAATGATCAAAAGTTTTGGGGGAGCAAGGGCAGGAAGAGTCCTCCCCATGATTATAATACCTGATTGCTGTTATTGATTTTTCAACTCTAGTGACACCTCTTTCTCCATCTGTCTCCCCCCACTTCCCTCTCCTGGTTGTTGGTTGACTGTTTGTTTGTTTGTTTGATTTTGTTTCTCACATACAGAGGCGGCTGGCAGCTCAGAACCAAGAGAGAAGAAAATCCAAGGTAGGGTTCTGGAGTTGTGCGTGTTGACCTGCTATCCTGGTTGCATATGTCACACAGGGCTAGGGGATGTGCCAGGGAGGCCCAGGGTTGTATGCAGGTCTCGGCTGCATCCCTGCTGCCTGTGCTTAATGTGGTCATGTTGACACCGCTCTTTTTTGCTTGCTTTATGTGCTTTTTAATTAGAGCATTTAGGGTTCACATAGCTGCAGTGTATATATATATTTGACCCTGGAAAATTTGACAGTGCTTTACAAATGAATCGCTGCTCACTTTGTTTTCATTTTAAATCAAATTTGGGGGAAATTGTTTTGTATGTCCGATTCGTTTCTGCCTTGAAGTAAACAGGTTCTGATGTTTAGGATACAGTCTTCAACTTTTAACATATTTTCTCAGTCAGATCACTTTCAAACCCAGTTTTAGTAGGAATTCATCTGTGTTGTCTTTTCCTCCTTGCTTGCACATTCTTTGTACCTTCCCAGTGCGATGGGCAGTTTGCTAAGAGTTTTCTTTAAATTTATTCTTCCACCCTCTCCTCCACCTGCATCGCCGTCAACACAGATCCGATGCTCTGAGCCAAAGTAGACACGTTGTCCCCGTCCGCACAGGGGTCCAACACTTGGAACCAGTGTAGACTGGAACCGGTGTAGACATCCCTGAGCTATGGATTTGAAGCTGGCTTTTAAAAAGTTTGATTTGGGAATGTCCAGAGAAGGTGGAGATGGCTTGACAGCCTTGAGTTTATTTCTTGGTTGTTGTTTTTTTTTTTCTCTTTTTTTCTTTATTTTCCTTTCCTTCCCATTTCTTTCCCCTTCCCAGTCAGGAGCAGGAAAAGGTAAACTGACTCGCAGCCTTGCTGTCTGTGAAGAGTCCTCGGCCAGACCAGGAGGGGAAAGTCTTCAGGATCAGGTATACACCCTGTCTTTATGGGTCCTGGATGAATGGGATCCACTTTTGTGTGCATGAGCATTCATTTGGCATTAAACAGTGTTTTGGGGGGGAGTACAAACTAGTTGAAGAAGGACAAAGTCCAGCTTCCTGCCCCATTTCTGAGACATCCTAACTTAGTTGAACAGTCTCAAAATATTACATTTGTTTTTTTTCCAGACCCTCTGAACACTGCACATGGAAAGGAATTCAAAAGAATTTAGATTAAAACTTAAAATGTAAGCACGGCCGTGCTGCTTCTCCTCAAAGGCTCTCTCTTGATCAGACTGAACCAAACACAGTCCTAAGTACCACGTCTCCTCCCTCAGTGGAGAGTCTTACCTCCCCAAAATGCACTTGCCTATAAAAACACAAATTTTGGCTCTTATGAAACTTCAGAAATAGTGAATAAGGTGCATTGAGCTTTGGAGACATACTTTTAGGGCCTTTGGTGGAGATTTCTCACTACTGGAAAAATGGTCCAGAAATAAATCTGAGATGAATGTGAATTTAAGTTAATATTGTTAACATTTTGCTGCACATCCTCACACCTGATTTTTGCTCCTTACAGCAAGGCTGTTCAGCTCTAAAAATTCAACTTCCAACAAAACTCTTCACATTGTATTTATTTTTGTTTGCCTTTCAGGCATCATATTCACTTTTAGAAAAATGGTCTTGCTGTTAAAGTTTTTCCTTATTTTATCAGAGGCTGAGAGCAGTCAGGACAAAAGTAAAATGATTTATTTGAACCCAGAGGAGGAAAAATTGATTAAGTTAGCATTATTTTTGTTGAGCTGTGTTTTGCTTTTCTCTTTATAATTCAATTAAAATTCTCAAAATTTTCCTCATGGATACAGAGAGCATTGAGAGCACTTTCTTTAAAAGGACCAAAAATAAATTACTCGTAGATTTCGTCCTTAGAGTATTTTTTTTTTCCCCTAGCCTCATTTCCTTAACCTGCCACCCATGTCATACGCCGGGGGTGGGCTAGCTTTCAGTAGCCATCACTATGTTTCATACAAGCTTTATTTTCCTTGGGCTCTGAGAAACATGTGGCTTTTGTTCAGCATTTTATTTGTGCTTCTTCTTTGTATGGAGATTCAAAAGGGGGAATAAGGCGAATATCACAGCTTATATCATTCAATGTGGATGGACGGCTTGTGATGTAATGCACACAATACATGTTAATTCTGCAGAATGACAGACTCTGGGAGAAATAATGCCCCAGTGGTCCCCTACTCCGAATGCCAGGCAGAAGAACACAGCCTTTTTAGATTTCATCTGATTTTTTTAATCCTATTTGATGAGGTACTGGGAGGAGATTTTTTTTCAAGTGATCATCTGTATCATTGTGCCCACCCTAGACCTAAGTCTAGGTTACTCCTTGCAGTTGGAGCAGAGAAATAAGAGGCAAATGGTACTTGGCTCCTGCTGGCCCCATGCTGAGTAACTGAGACTAGCTTTGTAGGAATTAGACCTTGCAAGCCTTCCTTGGGACTGGCTGAGGCGGTGGGAGCAGGGCCTGCCCACACACACACACATATAAGCAAGTGGCCATGCTGCTCTTTTAGAGAATAAAGAAGCAGACCTTTGAGCTTGTATACAATGCCTTCATTAGGTACCACCGGCACTTAACATGTGGGAACTGAACCCCTGACAACACTGGCTGAAGTGTACGGTATACGAATTGTATGGCTCCCCCAATGTGTGTGTATTCACAGTATTTGGAAAACTGCCTTCATTTTCCTGTGTGGGAAAAAACTCTTGCTACCTGTATTACTTGATCTCAGACCCATAGCAGATGGTTCAGTCTGTCCTTAAGTTAAAGGAAGTGTTTCTTTTCTAATGTTATACTCTTTACCTATCAGTGTATTACTGCACCTTGAATTATTCTTTTCCTGTTGTTGGAGATAAAGTTATCCTGTACTGATGTATTTAACTTGTATTTTATTATTGAGCATATCAATAAAAATATTAAAAAAGAACAGATTGTTTTTTACCAACTCTATAGCACTTTCGTGTATTCTTTCAACACCATAACGTGTAGAAAAGGCAGGTGTTTTTCTGAGTATAGTGTTTGTCATCACATGGCAGGACTTTGTACATTTTTTTTTTTTTAAATAATGTCCTTTGGCCTCTGCTCTTGCATTCATATTTCCAAGCCTCTTTGATTTTAGATTTAAACTTACTGAGGCTGAATGGATCAATCAGTTTTGAAGAAGTAATGAGACCACTTCCTGACCTGGGACCCTCACTTTCCTCTCCTGACCCACTGTCGAATCGATTCTTCCCCACTTGGAGCAAAAATGTTCCAGCTTTTTCCTTAGCAAGTGGAAGCAAACTGTAACACCAAAGTCTGCCTGAATCTTTGCAGACTAAGACATTTCTTTCCCAAGTGCTGTGATAAAAGACCTTATCATCAAATTACACTCGGATTCGTATATGGCCATCCCCAGGATAGTTTCTGTATGTCCATCCCCAGGATAAACTTGGAGATATCAGGAAACCTGGCTAAGATAAATATTTACCATGAGAATGTGTTTTATTTCATCCTCTGTATCATGCAGCTTTCCAACCATGGTGACTTTTTATTCCAGCCCAGAATACACAATAGAGCCCCTCCCAAAAAAGAAACTTGACATTGGAGGACTTTGGTTTCCTGCTTGCCAGATCAGCTAGGTTTACCAAGAACCATTAAGAATCCCAGATTGGCCATAATTTGAGGATGTAGAGACATCAGTTTAGTCACATGTAGAAGAGTCTTGGTTTAGTTTTCAGTGGGAAATGCTATTAGTCATTGGGAATATTTTTTCCCCTTCATCATAAATGTTAATGTTGCCAGTGGAAGAAAGTTTTCCCATTAGATGATCTCTTACATAAGAACCAGTGGGCTTAATGTTGGCTCATTTGTCATAGTTTTAATCATAGCATAGTTTTTTCATAAAACTGAAAAACATAATTTGGCTCATTCTTCTTCAAAACAGTGAACATACTATCATCCAAATGGCTGATATATGAGTTCATATGAAATGATCTGTTTCAGTGCAAAATCAATAAATACAAAAGTGGATCCAGTCCAAATACTGTAAATGGTCAACCAAGCATTAGTTCAAGAGACTCTTACATCTTGAAAGGATTCACTGATACTAAGATTAAAATAATATTAATTATTTATATTTAATTGATGGAAAATATAGTCCTATTTTCTACCTTTTCCAAAAGGCAGTGCTTATTGTAAGTTTTAATGCTTTATTAATAGCTTTCGTAAGCGACATAGGATAACCCATATCTAGGATTCCTTCAGTTCTGTATTTTTATTTTTCATAGTGATAGAAATCAGTATTTATGTGGCTCTGAAAGAAAAGTTTACTTGTAAATGGGCTATTATAGCCTTTATTTATGTCTGTTTTTTTCTGTAATTATGATTCATGTAATATCTGTCTGTCTGTGCTTGTACCAATTTTTTCCATTCAAGGAATTATATAAAAGAACTTGCAGAAACCTCTTTTTTATGTTAATTTTTAAGACATGATAGTAGCTATGATGCAAACTTATTGATAAAGAAATTTTCTTAAGTGTTTAAAAATAAACCTATAGAGAAAATAAGAGTTGTGATATGTAGGAATTTAGCTTGCTTTCAGTTAATATTCTTCACAAGGCAAAGTTTTAGTACTAGCTACTTCTCATGACCTTCCATTGACCTCCAAAGTTAATTCATCTTAAAGAGCAATTATTTTTCTGACAGGTATAATTTTTTTACCATTTAAGAAAAAAAAAATCTGTACCTGGCTTTCATTTTCCTGTTCTTAATAATCTCTATGCAAAATGGAAACCAGACAGAGATTCTTAAATCTGGCCCTAAATTATTATATTTTTTCCCCAACAGGAATCAATTCATTTACAGCTTTCCAGTTTTCCCAGCCTGCAAGAGGAGAATAAATCTAGGAAAGATGACTCTGAAAGAGAAAAAGAAAAGGATAAAAACAAAGATAAAACCTCTGAAAAACCCAAGATCAGAATGTTATCAAAAGGTGAATGTGAAAATGTTTCCTTAACTTACTCAGTTTGGATACATAACTAGTCACAAAATACATTCTAGACTTTACACACATATCACCTCCCAGCAAAATTTGCATAAAATTTTATTTGTATATGTATGTGTGTGTGTAAAAGATGATGTGAACTTAATTTTTTTCTGTTCATGGTGTCATTTTTGTGTATCTAAAAAGGTTATTTTTAGGATCACATATTTCTTCGGATATTCATTTGGATGTATTTTTGAGAAGTTTATACAAGGGAGTGAATATAAACCTGTTCTTAATTCACATTTATTAGTCCAGTTAATTTGAATTGATGAACAGTAATGGTACCCAGTTTTATATCTTTTAAGTTTCATGTTTATCTTAAAAGACAGATAGTGGATTAGCAATTCTCGGATGATAAGTGGTAAGTGGTGTCCCCAAAGTGCAGATGTATATATCAGTGTCAATGGAACACATATTAGCATTTTATCTGGCCTAAATGAATTCGGTGTCTGCAACCCATATACTGCCCCACAATGTCTCACGTAAAATATACACACTTCTACTTCAGGAAAAATTTCTTCTCCAAAAGTCATTCCTTATAAAACCCCAAAGTTACAATCCAGACTTTTCGACTTGTTGCCTTACATATAATTTATACAAAAGTAAAACAAACAACCAAAAAAAAGCATAAGTAAAAACAAAATTAAATTGATATGAAGAATTCCATGAATAAACAGATTGGCAATAGACTATTTTTTTTAAATACCTGAGACAGTATAAGGCATTTAATCAGCTGAGAAAGGACAACTACTTCACATATGCTGCATAACCACAGATCTGCTTGTAACGATTGTCTCAGCTGCTGAACATCTAAAACCAAGGTGTATCCGAGAGTAAACAAATACAGCTTCCTAAGATGGCTTTAGAAATTAAACTTTAGACAGCATCAAAAGACTTGAAAGACTTGGAAATATTTAATGCCCTCCTATATTTTGTATCAGTTAATATTTAGACAGTTTTATAACAGAACATTCAGTTTTTGCCTTCTCCATTTTAAGAGGGTTCCATGGTATCTTAAACTCTTGAGAGTTCTCTCTGTGGGTTGGGAGTACCCATCACTGTCATGGAGAGGTCATGACCTTGCTGATTGACAGCCCAAAATGAACACATGACATCTGACTCCGCCCACCCACCCACCCAGACTGTGCCCACTTCCTCTCCTATGACAGCTAGGTCTTTCCACACTGGAAATCTACTGGGTGTTCTTAATCCCCGAACCTGATTTTCATCTTGATTTAATATTGCCAGGTTGCTAGTTTCATAACATGTATCTCTAACACCAGTAGATTGACCTAAAGTTTACCTGAGCGCGAGGGAGAAAGGAAAGGTTGGGAAAACCCTTTTCAGCCCACTTCTCCTAACTCCACCCTGCTGTTTGTTTCAGATTGCAGCCAAGAATATACGGATTCTACAGGCATAGACTTACATGAGTTTCTGATTAACACGTTAAAGAATAATTCCAGGTAAATCATTAAGTAAACCTCTTGTTTTTAGAGGAGTCAAGTACAGTGTTACAATAAAGTCATTCATGCAAACACTTCTAAGAGGGAAGCTGTAGAAGGCTGAGTCCATCTCTGATGTCTTAAACTGTCTCTTGTGTTTTCTCTTTTCTGCTAATAGTTTGCATGTTTACTGTTTTTAGCTAGTCTTAATTCCTGGGTACTTGTCCAGTGAACAAATTATAGTTTAAAGTTCTGCTTTTCTGGTCACAAAAAGATACCTGTTAAGGGGGAAAATACAGAGAATGAGAAGCAATGTCAAATAAATATGCTTCGGGGCAGCTATTGAACCAACTACTTGGGCTTAGCTTTGTTAAAGTTTCCCATTAATTTAAAATATACAGTTTACTTGGTGTGTTTTATGGGCCTAATACCTTGCTTGTCTTACTTAACATTAAAAGCTACAAATGTTTCAGTAGTAGAACATACTTAACAGATGAGAAATCCCCTTAAGGAGAATGGAATTACAGCTATTTTCACATCACATTTCAGAAAAGAGTTACATGCTGATTTGTAGCTACAAAGATTTAAACAATCTTTTCCATACATGTAAATGAAACTGTTAAGTCTTTGGGAATGGACAGTCCATAAAGCCTCTTCATTTTAACATTTATTTTGCAGAGACAGGATGATCCTCCTGAAAATGGAGCAGGAAATTATTGATTTCATTGGTGACAACAAGTATGTTGAATCGCAGTGCCGGTTAATGAATCTGATGTGTCTTGGTTTGCTGTATGGGTTTAATCACTCATTCTGGAAAGATTTAGGGGTAGATAAAACATTATTTAATATGTTTGCTGACTCATTAAATAGAGATGCTGTTGGAGTTAGGAGCTATGTGTTGATGGGAATTGTTGCTTGGACCATGTGTACTCCTGCTTGTTAAATTCCTGACAAAATGGCTATAAACAGGGGGCCACTGATTAGCATTGAGTAGCAGTAACAACAAGCGACCCTTTTCGTTTTTATTATAGTTTTTTAATGGGCTCCAGCTGGCTGTAGTCAGTTATGCCTGGAAATAATTGTGCTGCTTTCAGTGTCAGCCGTGTAGTGACATCTCCAGATAGACATCTGCAGTCCCATGTTATGTCATGTCATTCGTTGCTGTGCCTGGCTGTGTGGATAAGGTCTCCTGGTCTAAAACAGAATATACTTTCCATTAAGTTCTCTGTGGTCTGAGAAATGCACAACTGTAAAACAAAAACACTTATTGTACTTTAATCAATACATCTATAAGTGGAAAATTGGTCTGGAAATGAGAACATCGAGTGATGCCAGGAATGAAATAAGCTTAATGGTTTGGATGAAAAAGAAACGGTTTTGTGTGTATATCTCTCAAATGTACTACGGGCCAGAAACGAAAATGCTGATGCTGCTGTTTCTTGTATTCCTTTCCAGTAATCATTATAAAAAGTTTCCTCAGATGTCATCCTATCAGAGGATGCTTGTCCACCGAGTGGCCGCTTACTTTGGGCTGGATCACAATGTCGATCAAACAGGGAAATCGGTCATCATCAACAAGACCAGCAACACAAGAATGTAAGCCCCCTCACTGTATTTATTTAGCATTTTCTTTTTCTCTTGTGGATTTGTTTATAAGCACACAATATACAGTTCAAAGTACATGGCATTTAAAATGTACAGTGTTATTTTATATCTTGCTCTTATCAACAGTAGTGGCATTTATCTATACAAGATTATCTGTGGACCAGGAAAGTTGATAAAATTTAGGCTGTAAAGTGTATTTATTCCCAGATTGTTACATAGCTCCTGAAACACAATTTTCTTCCTTCCATTAGTAATCCATCTGGTTATATACCAAACATGGAACATGTTATGTCAGCTCCAACTCCGATTAAAAATAGCAGACATTTAAAAACAACAATAACATATATAGGATGATTATCCTTTTCTTTCTTTTTCTGGTGTCAACACATTGATCTTACTGTGGTGTCTAGAATAACAAAAACTCCAAACCTGGAGACCGAAGTCTGGCCTCTAAGACCCAGTTCTTTTCCTTACTACCTGGGTGATTTGAAATAAGTCATGTAAAATGTGCCCTCTTGGGTTTTTTTCACTTGTAAAATCAGAGTTTTTTGAGCCAGATAATATCTAAGTCTGGCTCTAAAAGAAGGTTGCTTGTTGTTTTGCTTCTTTCAATGGTTGTTTGCTTCTGTCTCACTGTGTTTTCATGGTGTCACTGAAAACATAAAATGAGTGGTCATTTGCTTTAGAAACTTTGAACTGTGTCTGTTGAACCTACATCTCCTTTAAGCACAGACCATTTTTATAGCACAGTACACATTAAACTGAAAAACTGTCCTCATATAAAGCAATTTCTTAAGACATTTGTGTTTGGTAAATTGCGCACATTGCGTGGTAGTTAGGAATGCCATGTTACTGAAGGGAACTTTTGTGTCAGGCACAGCAATGTGGTTCAGACATTAGTTTCTATTCTCTGGAGCCTGGGCCTTGTTGGGGTGGAGATGAGACCCCTTCTCTGCTCAAGGCTCGGTCTGTGTTAGACAGAATGAGTGTGAAGGTCATAGTCGGGAGAACTCAAGCTGGGAGATCTGGGGCTCCTGAGATTGGCTATTTTCTCAGGGACACTGAGCGCTTCTCTTCTCTGGACTTCAGATTATTTATTTATCTGCAGGAGAGAGTTTGGAATGGTTAATGTTTAAAGGCCCTTGAGCTTCAGAAGTCTTGGGTCCTGTGGTTGCATTTTATTGTGAGGGCAAAACACATCTTAAAATTTATCAGCTTTCCACTTTATCTGATTGTTGGCACATGGACCTCCTATTTTGAACAGTAGTAGGACTGAAAGGTCACTGTCCTTTAATCCTTCCCTGTCTATTAAATACTCCTAGTCATTGCTGTTGTTTTTCATTCTTCATTCTGGTTTTTCTTATGATTTTCAGATACTATAACGCAGGGACACACGGACTGCAAACTAGGCAGGCAGTTCTGTCCTTTTAATTCTTTCTCTATAAGGCCGTAACAGACGTGGAAAAGCCCATAGATCAAGTAGATTGATGTGGTTTCAACTAGTAGAGACAGTGCATTTATGTTTAATTCACCCTGATTTTGCAGTCGCATAGTCATAAATATTAATACACATGTTTGAGACCTGTTTCCTTGTCAAACAGTTCTTGAGAAAATAAAACACTCTTTGTATAAAGGCTCTTGGTAACTCAGCAATGGCTCCAAACTTGCAATCAGTTTGATACAGTAGTCACTAATTATATATGGCTATTTACATTTTAAATTAATTAAATTGAAATATAATTTAAGCTTTAAGATTCAGTTCCTCTGTCAGGCTAGCCATATTTCAGGTGTACCTATTGGAGAATATACAGAACGTTCCTTTTATTTCAGAACGTTCTGTAGGTCAAATCCTTGTGATTCTTGCAAGTTTCCAAATACCACTGGAGAACATAATATGTCCCTTAAAGCTTTTCTTTCTGCTAATGTGCATCATATAATCAGACTTCTTCACTTCCAAAAGAACACTAGCTTTTTTTTTTTTTCCTTTAATGGCCAATTTCCAATAGATGCCATGTGTTTATGCCTTGAGGAAGAGCAGAAGGAGAACTTGGTGCAGGAAGCACCTTTAGGTATTGTCCCTATAACAAAGTGCCTGGGCTGCTAGGCGTTTTGTCTAGTTCCTGCCTTTGATCATCAACATTTAGTCCCCACTCTGTGAGAACTGAATTTAATAATCTTTCATCCACAGCTGTATCAAATCCCACCACTCTATTCCAGACACCTTTCTGGCCATCCTTGATTTGAGTGGCTCTTGCCAAAGATTGAAATGGGGATGGGGGAAGCTAATATCTTTCAGAACAAGAGAAAAAGATGAATATAATGTCCTTTTATAAATAGCATCCAGTCACATTTTCAGGACCTGAGTCACTTTTGAGCAGTTTTAGCAAAGGAGAAATGTAGTTCTGTGGGAAATTATATTTGCCATTGAAAGTCTGTTGCCATGTTTTCATGGAGTTAAAGTTCAAAAGATAACATCTCTTCACGTTCTAGGTGTCTTGCATATTTTTGACTTTGAAAATTTCAAGAGTTGTGCCATCAGGACAACTGGCCTATGATGATTGTGGGGACCATATTGGGTTAGATACATTATTAGATGAAAATGTTTCCATTTCTATAAAGGAAGGAGGCTGAGATGGAAGTTCCTCAGATGATTCCTTGTGGGTTTTCTGTTTCGGCGATATCGTTTCAATGTGTGCACTTTAATGGTACCCCAAAACAAATGCATGGAGATGGATATTTTAAATGTCAGTAGAGATTGGGAGAAATGCAGAAAACTGGATGGAAGATACAAAACTGAACTGAAGGGCTGAGGAAGGGAAACTACTTCCTTTTTTTAATTTTTCATTTTCAATGACCATGCTGGCATCTAAGGTGTTCTCTGAAGTGGATGCCTGTCAGCTAGATATTGGCTAGGATTTATTTCCAGAATTCCTGTTTTTCTAGATTGTCTGCAGTTTAAGTGTCTTAGAATGTGTCTTGAAAATACTAAGTTTTGCATGGAGAGAAAATAGTTTCACCTGAAGTTCAAAATATTTAAGTCATGACAACAGATTCTGGGGATTATATATATACATGCATGTGTACTACAGTCACCTCTAGTATTTTCTCTGATATCTTCAAATATAATACATCCATCCTTTCATGATGGAAAAAATTACCTCAGACTTTTCAGATAGTTAGAATCACTTATAATAGCATTACATACTATTTGTTCGGTTGTACTGGTTACTTTACATCTTATCTAATGTATATTATATCATTCATATTAAAAGCATACTTAGAACCTAAGTCATTAGAGCCTCATTTTACAGAAGAAGAACATTAAGTGCACAGGTTTGATCCCTGGTACAGGAAGATTCCGTATCCTGCAGGGCTCCACAGCTACTGAAGCTTGCATGCTAGACTCAGTTTGGGACCTCCAGAGAAGCAATGATCAGCATGGCTGGAATCTCAACCCAGTGTGTCTCATGCCAAGAACAACATTACTAAGTAATCTAACTCTCTTTAAGGCAAAACAGTCCAGACTATCTTGATCGACATGCTCAAGATCTCCGGGATTGGTTGAGAATTCCCACTCCTAAGTCTTTCGTGGTCTGATAAGAAACAATGATTGAGGGAGAAAGTCTTTTTGAAGGTTAACTCAGTGGTATCAGTAAATAACAGATACTTCCTCTCATATGACAGCATTTGCCAGATTTTCTTTATCACCACTACATGCTGTGACATTTGGGGAAAAAATATGCAGTATTTAGAGGGAGTGCTATCCATTCAGTGGAAAATTCCTATACTCTGTTTCAGTCGGTGTTTTCAAGAAAGAAAAAAACTGTGTTTACAGATAATGTCAGTGCAAGAGGTGAGCCTGTCCTTTGTGTGAACACAAAATTAGTCTTCCAAGCAACTCAGTTGTCCAGATGCATGTTTTCATGTCGTAACCACAGGAGCGTGGGGTTAAGGGTGTATTGTGTTCATTTGGGATTCATTCCAGAAAGGTGCCTTCTTCCAAGGGAACTGATGCGCTGTGACGAGTTAGCAAAGAAAAGTCACCTTACCCTGGCACCGCCCTGCCCTGGCTGTTTCTCAGGGCTGGGCAGGTAGAGGACAGTGAGCATCAGTCACCTCCGCCATCCAGCACAACACTCAGCCCACAACGCAGGTCTTAATGATTGGCGATGCCTCTGTTTAGAATGTCCTGTTACCTTGTTGAAATAATGAATGGAGTTTTTGAACCGAGGCTTGGTCTTTTTTCTGCTTTAGTCAGGCTCTCTTTCCCCAGCGTATGGCCAGAAGTATGTTTTCATCTCTAGCACTTACAGATTTTTTTTTCTGTTGGAATTCTCTGTTAACTGTCAGATTATTTGGCCACCCCAGATGAGCCCCTTGGAAATTTGGGGCAGAGGTATTAGGGTGTGTGCAACTTGGCACTGCAAGGGATACTTAAAATGTATTTACTTTCTATCATGTTACTTTTTAAAATCTGTTTTTATTTGTGGCTGTGCTGGATCTTTGTTGCTGTGCGCAGGCTTGCTTTATTTGCGGGGATCGGGGGCTGTTCTTCTTTGTGAGTTTCTCATTCTCCTTTTGTATTCATTCAAAATAATTTCCAAGTATCTAGCTAACTAGCTCACAGCATTCTAGGCAGATAGAGCTAGGCTGAGATTCATGTCTTGATCTTATCTGGTCTCTTCACAAAAGATCAAGCCTGAAATCCACCACTCCTGTCACTCAGCCATGATTGAGGTTTGGAGAACAAGAACTAACATGAACAGAATCAATACCCCAAATGATGATAAAATCAAGAAGCAAACCAAACACTGTCCTTTCACTGAGACCAGACCCACTGTATTTGTTTTTTGCTTGTTCTTTTCTTTCTTTTTTTTTTTTTTTACAAAATCCTAATTTACATTTAATTTTTAAAACAGAGAACTCAGTTAATGTTAATACCAAGATGAATACTAAAACTGTGATGCAAAACTCCAGAACCACAGAACACA